CTGGGCAGCTCCAGTTCTTTGCATATGTCCTTCAGAGCTCACATAGTCATCTCCCAGGCTCCGGCTGGCTCCACTCTATAGCTGCTGCTGTCCTTGGTGGTCATCCCACGGTCCTGGCATCTCCAATATTTACTAGTGTCTTCCCAATCAGCACCTTCACTAATGGTTTTCTGCCTGTCTTCGGGGACTCTGACCCTGCTACATGGTCCCAAACCCCAGCTTCTCTCCACAAACCCTTCAGTCCTAGGGTTTCTACTACAACTAATGGCCTCTTCTGGGATCTCATGGCACCAAGCCTTGCCTTCTCCTCATGACTCCTCCATGCCTTTAAAACTAGTACCAACTGGGAGACTTCCCAAATTTGGCTGCAGCATGAGATGTAGCCTTGGCCCCCTCTGGACCACGGCTTTTGTATGCTTACCTTGAGAGAATATTTTAACACGGTTTTACCTCAATTATGCTGGTCTGTTCTTAATCACAGCTGATTTCTCAGCCCTCACTGACCAATACCCATTGTCCCAGAAAAAGAAGTTGAATTTTTACTGTCTTGGGTCTCTTGTTAAACACAGACAATTCTTCAGACCCTTGTAGCTGGAGAGCTTTTCTCTCCGGGTCCCGCCAAGTCCCGCCAGTCCTGGAGCCCACTTATAAAATAAACACACAGATGCTTATATTATTTAAACTGCTTGGCCATTAGCTCAGGCCTATCATTGTCTATCTCTTACTCTTATATTTAGCCCATTTCTATTAACCTATATTTTGCCACGCGGCTTGTGGCTTACTGGTACCTTACATCTTGTTTGTCCTGGCGGTGGCTCCAGGCAGTCTCCCCCTCTGCCTTCCTGTTCCCTCAATTCTCCTCTCTGTTAGTCCTGCCTATACTTCCTGTCTGGCTACTGGCCAATCAGTGTTTATTTATACAGAGCGATATCCACAGCAGACCCTACTGACAAGAACCATAGGTTCTTAACTAAAAATAGTATGTGAATAGCACTGAGAGGTACAATCTTTAAGGGACCCTCAAACTTCCCTCTGGAACTTCACAAGCCAAGCACCTGTCATTTGCCCTGCTCTCAGAATTATCTTCCAAGTTCCTACAAAAGCTTATTAAGATCTGAACTCTCAATGTTTTTATTCCAGTCCAAAGTCCATACAGTCCCACAATCCTCCCTGGTCCACAAACTACATGGTTCAGTCTTTAGAGAAATGCCCCATGATTCTAGTACAAATTTCTGTCTTAGTTTGCTTTCTGTTGCTGTGATGATGAAAAGCAACTTTGTAGTTTGTAATCCAGGGAAGTCAGGCCTGGAACAAAACAGAAAGCATGGAGGAGTGCTGCCTACTGGCTTGTTTTCCTTTTAGCTTGATCAGTTTGCCTTCTTATACAACCAAGGACCACCTGCCCAGGGATGGTACAGCCTTCAGTGGGCTGGGCCCTCCCACATCAGGTCCCAACCAAGAAAATGTCCCACAGGCTTGTCCACAGACCAATCTTACAGAGGCATTTTTTCATTCAAGATTCCCTCTTCTCAGACAGCTCTAGCTTGTGTCAAGTTGACAAAAGCCAGCAGGACAGATACTAACAGGCTTGGAGAATACTGGATTTGGACCTTTCCTTTATAATAAACATCTCATGAAATCAATGACTAGGACAGCAAGGCTTTAATTAATGAACAGAAGAATGGGGATAGAGTTACAGCTCATGTCCCAGGAGAAAGCATGACATCCAAACTGCTCAGAAGGTCATTAGTATATAACTAAACCTGGCTCCAGGAGCCTTAAAGTTTATATGATTACTATATAACAGAAGACTTTCAGATAAAGAACAAAGGCACAATATCTCCCTTCTTAGAGAGAGTCAATCTAAATAGGCTTGTCAGTCACCTGGGCAGGACAAAGTTCCTCTAGAAAAGTTAGTTATTTTGGAGATTCCTTGCAAAATAATATAAAGAATTTTTTCTTTTTTTTTCTTTTCTAGACAGGGTTTCTCTGTGTAGCTTTGTGCCTTTCCTGGACCTCACTCCAGGTGGGCCTTGAACTCACAGAGATCCGCCTGGCTCTGCCTCCCGAGTGCTGGGATTAAAGGCATGCGCCACCACCACCTGGCAATATAAAGAATTTTTAATATGTATTTCCCAGATGGCTAAGAATGTTGAACACTTTTACAAGTATTTAGTGGCCATTTATGTTTCTTCTTTTCAGAACTGTGTACTCAGTTTGTTAGCCCACTTACTGACATTTGGTATTTAATTATTTGGTATTCCTTAAATATTCTAGAATTAGCTCCCTGTTGGTTGTAAGCAGGGTAGAAGAAAGGGCAGAGGAGGGGGGGGGTCAATAAGAACAAAGTGTGTAATAAAAATGGCATAATGAAACCCATGATTGTGCATTTTATCCTAAAAACTGCTTTAAAAAAGAAAATGCTGTAATGCCTGCCTAAAATTTAGGTCCTCACAGTGATCGCTCTGATCATTGTCCACTCTTATCGGTTGAGCATGCACCATTCTGTGAAATCAACATGACCTGTCTTCTATACTAATTGTGCTTTGTGTATCTCACCCAGATACTGTCATGGGAGATCACAAGGACCAGAGAAATAACAGGAGTTAAGACTGAGATCCTAATGACACCAGAATTGTTTAAATGTGTATTATTTGTCACTAAACACTTTTAGGTTTTCAGATGTCATTTTTGGTGGCTTATTTTGTTTTGAGAGAGGGTCTCACACTATAGTGTATGTTGGCCTGAACTCACCAAGTAACCAAGGCTGGCTTTAAACTTACACCAATGGTAGTGTTCTGAGTGCTAAGAATACAGGTGTGAGCCTCCATGCCCAACTTGGATATCTTTTATGATTTCTGACTTAATGTCATTGATGTCAGAGGACATGTTACAAAATTTACATCCACTTAAATTTATGTTTGTATAAGTCTCATCTTTGTCCAGAGTACAAGTGCATTTGAAAAAAATGTGATTCTGGAAATGTGTTATTGCAGAGTGTCTGCTCCAATATAGTGCTTTCTATATGTAACAGGAAAGCTGCATCCATGAAATTTCAACAATATGGTTGCCTAAACAAGACCTAAACTATGACAACATCAGTTGACATGCCAATGTGGAAGGGGGAAGTTTCACAAGGCCACACACAGAGATGAAGAGCTATAGGCAATTAATGACTGTTGAGAGAGAAAGGGAGAGGGAGAAAATATCAACCTTTTCCAGGTATGAACCCCCTAATTAGTTATTGAATCCCAAGTGGTCAGCTCTAAACACATACACAAATGAGCAGTACTAAACAGACTTTAGTTGTATGTGTGTGGCAATTTGAGAAGGTAAAGTTAGGGGGTCATGGGAGGGGTCTGAGGTAAGAGAGGAAGGGGAAATAGGATGTAAAACAGTACTTATACATGAAATTCTCAAAACTAAAGCATGTTTCTAAATATTCCCTATTTATATTACTGATTATGCTTATCACTACTATTATTTTCCTTTTTATATTCTTTTCTCCCTGATTATAATATGTAATAGTCTAATGGTTGCTTGAATAAAGGAGTCATGCTGACATTTAAAACGTATGAAAACTGTGCAAGAAATAATTATCTGTATTTGCAAGAGAATTTTAAAGGACACTTGAGACGTGGTAGTTGACTAGTCACACAAAAACACACCTATTACACATACAAACTTGAGAAGGATGGGGACTTAGCTCAGTGGTAGAGCACTTGCCTAGCAAGTACAAGGCCCTGGGTTCGATCCTCAGCTCTGGAAATAAAACAAACAAACAAACAAACAAACAACTTGAGAAGGTACAGGTAGCAAAGCAGAAAATGCTGGGACTCTTTAAAGGACAGAAATAGAGTATGTCTTTAGACTGATTAATTTAGAGAGTGAAAAATACCTCAGTAGAAAGCTGAGTGACAATGAAATCAAACAATAACCAAGATTTCTGGACTGACTATGAGATTAATAAGTGTCTCTAATTCTCCAAACACAAGACTCTGTTTTCCTCATCTTTGTATCGACCTTTTTCCAGGCCTGTGTAGTTTCCCATGCCCGTGTAGTTTCCTAACCCTGTGGAGTTTCCCATTCCTGTGGAGTGAGGGCAATAAATTGCAGCACTGTGGGCTCTTTTTGTTTCCCGAAACTATAATGAAATCACTGTGAATCAAAAGAAAAGCCAAAATATCACACAATTTTAAGCAAAGGGTTAGATAGGCCCCAGCTTTGGCCAGTGGAGTAGTCCTCAGTCCACCTGAAAGCACACCATGTATATCCCCTGAGAACACTCTGACACCACAATACACAGAAAAAATTACATCGGTAAAGTAGAAAGAGGCAATCTTGATACACGAATGTATCTAGTTCTGGGGGAACAGACATGTATGCAAGAAACAGAGCAGGGCCCTGGATGCTGCCTAGGCTACTGCAAAGCTGAAATATGCAGAGAGGCCAGTTAGAGCAGTCACTCAGAGAGCTGATGGAATCCATTGATTATCTACCAGGCTATGACCCCTGGACTCAACTTGTGACTCCTCACTGAAGAATGTCATCTGTATGTACGCTGAAGTCACTGAGGAGAGCTGTCACTGAACTAAAACTTTATATTACACATAACTGCTGGGACCATGAAAAGCACTGCATTAATGAAACAATCACATTTAAACAATATTCACATAGCTTGATTAAAGAAATTGGGTGATTTATTAAAATGTACTTATTAAAACTTTTCAAAACGCTGTATGTTAGATGATCAATGAAGTCACATGGGTTGCTATAGAACTTCATTCAGACTCACGTTCTAACGGCTTTTAACGGATCTGAATCTCCATTATACACTTCGTGCTTCCACGACTAGCTCAGCCAGGAGCCCAAGCTGCTGGGTTGACCTATTGCCCACGATGGGCTTTCTGCGACGGTCTCGCCACCGTCAACGCCACCGCTGCCCACTTCGCTTCTCAAGAACCAGGGCTTTGTATCCGTTGTTGTTTACGACACCACCTATGGTCTTTCCAGCGTCTCAAGTGAGGCAGAACTACCACCGCGACTGCGAGACCGCTGTCAACAGCCATGTTCAAGAGCAACTCTATGCGTCCTACGTCTACCTGTCCATGGCCTTCTACTTTGACCGTGAAGATGTGGCTCTGGGGAACTTGACAAGCTTCTTCCTGAACAAGTCGCACGAGTGCACTGCGCATGCTGAGATGTTCCTGGCACTGCAAAACCAGCGTGGTGGCCGCATCTTTCTCCGCACTGTCAGCAAGCCAGACCGGGACGACTGGGTTGGCGTCTTTCCAGCCATGGAGCGTGCCTTTCAACTGGAGCTGACCCTCAACCAAAGCCTCGTGGCCCTGCACCAGCTAGCCACTAGCAAAAGTGATGCCCATCTGTGTGACTTCCTGGAGAAGAACTTTTTGAACAAGCAAGTTGAAGTCCTCAAGGAGATGAGCCGCTACGTGACCAACATGCGCCAGATGGGCTCTCCAGAAGATCGCACGGTTGAGTATCTACTTGGGAAACTTACCCTGGCTGACATCAATAAAGAGTACTGAGCTGGACTGTCTTCACAGCCCTGCATTCTTCTCCAGGCTACCAGACTGGATGCCACATTGCCCTTGCAGCAAGTTCACTCCTTTTTCCTTTCCCCTTTACCATTGTTTCCAATAAAGTTACTTGATCTCAGTCAAATTAAAGTGTCTGGTTTGCTTATGTTTACTTACTTTAAAAGAATAAAGGCTTATCCCTTTGCAGGTCTAAAATGTCTATCCAGGATTCCCTTCTCACACCCCTGGCCCATCCTCTTACAGCTCAAAATCTCCAAAGGGTGGAGGGGAAAGGTGATCCAAGGGCCCCCAGAGACCACCTTCTTTTATAAACCCTGTGAGCATAGGTGGTTAGGGATGATGGGGTGTGATGGGGTGGGTGGCCGGAAACCCTGGCAGCTGTGCTTAGTAAGTGTAAGCACATGGTGCATCTGAGCTCCAAGCCGAGCAGAGGTGGGGCGGGGGGTAAATAAGCAGTGGATCTGGGAGAGAGGGGAGGGAGGGGAAATTAGGAGCAATAGAGGGGAGGGGAGGCTCTGGTTGGGATGTTTGCGAGAAGAAGAAGAAAGAAGAAGAAGAAAAGACAGGATGTTAGACTTCAGGTATTATTAATTATAGTGTTTAGTTGGCCTATGAGCCCCTCAAGTTCATCTCTATCACTACCATAAACTAAAAACGGGGACCTTCAACTTCACCTGAAGACTTTTCATACAATAACATATACAAACATTAGGTTTCTTGATTCTAGGGAGAAAGAGAAAGAGAGAGAGAGAGAGAGAGAGAGAGAGAGAGAGAGAGAGAGAGAGAGAGAGAGAGAGACCCAGAAGTTGTGATTAGAGCACCCTGCCTGGGTGGCAGAGCTAATAGAATTGAGTGAACCTTAACCTGGCTTCCTCATAACCACAGTGTCACCAGCGGGTGCACACACAGTCCTTTCATAATACTTTTATTTCTGTTATTTCCAAATAACATCTCTCTTCCCTTGAAGTGACCTGATACCACAAAATACGACCTCCACAGAAGGGCTAAAATACCTGAGGTCCCCAGAGGTATCCATATTTGTGGTATTGAAAATAAAAAATTAACCCCCTGAGTGACTCAGGCTGCTTTGAATAATATAGTAATATGGAAACATGGGGGAACATTGAAGGTGGGTAATCAGTTACAAACCTGTCAGGACAGACCTGAGAGAATGTGTATGTATAATAGTGGATTTGTTAGCTTTGCTTCTATGGGCAGAGGCTGGGGATCGCTGCAATGGCCATCTTCAGGCTAGAGATCTAAGGGGAAGAGAAGCTGCTCAGCTCAAGAATTTGGGAGCCTAAGGTCTAGAAAACTAACGGAGCAACTGGGACCAGTGCTAAAGATTTGAAAGCCTCCCAGGTATAAATTGGAATTAAAAGGCGGAGATAAATGCCCACAGGCTATGGAAGCAGCAATAGCAGCAGCAACAACAATAATAAAATAATAAATATCTCTGTTCTGGGTAATTTCCTGTCAACTTGACACAAGCCAGGTTCACCTGGGAACACAGAACCACCCCAGTTGAGAAAATGTCGTCATCAGATTGGCCTGTAGGCAAGTATGTGGGGGCACTTTCTGGTTTAATGTTAGATGTGGTAGGATCTAACCACAGTAGCCAACTGTGGTTAGTGCCACCCATGGGCAGATGGGGAGACTGGTATAAAAAAGCAGGCTGACCACTCCCACAATCTCTGTGTCATCCTTACCCTGGCACATCACATAGGCCGGACAGCCTGTAGGCCGAAGGTTATGTGGCTGGGTTGGTACAGTCTGAGACCCATGCCACTAGAGTGAGTCCATCCCTGACACTTCCTGGAGTGCTAGGACACAGAGGCTGGATGGCCCAGAGACCTAGGATAGAACTAAACATGACTGTAAAAAAATGTCAATGTAGTGATGCCCAACTGTATTCTGCTATACTCATAGATTGGTCCCTAACTCAATAGTCATCAGAGAGGCTTCATCCAGCAACTGGTTGAAACAGATGCAGAGACCCATAGTCAAATTTTAGGCCCTGCTCAGGGAATCATGCTGAAAAGAGGGAGGAAGGATTGTAGAGGCCAGAGGGGCCAAGGATGCCACAAGAAAACCCCCAGAATCAACTAACCTGGGCTCATAGGCATTCACAGAGACTGAATTGACAGCCAGGGAGCCTGTGTGAGACCGACCTAGGCCCTTTCCATAGAGGTGACAGTTGTGTAGCTTGGTCTACTTGCAGGACTCCTAACAGTGGGAGCAGGGGCTGTCTCTGACTCTTCTGCTGACTTTTGGGACCCTACTCCTCATCCTGGGTCTCCTTGCCCAGCCTTAATACAAGAGGAGGTGCTTAGTCTTACTGCAACTTGATATGCCATGCTGTGTTGATGGGAGGCCTGTCCATTTCTTAACAGAAACAGAGGAGGAGTGGATGGGGGATGGTCAGAGGGAAGGTGGGGGGAGGGACTGGGAGGAGAGGATGCAGGGAAACTGAGGTTGGGATGTAAAAATAAAAAAAGCAGGCTGAGCAAGCCATGGGGAACAAGCCAAAAAGCAGTGTTCCCCCATGGCCTCTGCTTCAGTTCCTGCCCTGACTTCCCTTAGACAGACTAGGACCTGGTAGTTGTAAGAATGAATAAACCCTTTCTCCTCCGACTTGCTTTTGGTTGTGGCGTTAGAAAGCAAACAATCCCCTCTCTGAAAGAGTGGAGTCTGTCCATCCATGTGATTTTTCCCTCTCTTCTGCTTTTTTTGTCTCACGTAGAGTTCCAGCCTACTTGGTGGTGTTGCCTCTAATTCCTGGCAGAGCTTTCCCGCTCAGGTTGCTGGCCCTCACACCAACCCTTTTTAGAAACAATTTCACATCCATACCCAGAACTGTGCTTCATCAACTTCCTAGACTTCTCGCCACACATTCAAGTTGACAATCTCAATGAATGGAAGAGACATTGTATCTAGACCAGGCGAGAGAGGGATATGGTTTGCATTGCAGTGTAGCTGAAGAAATGACATCATGGATCTTTTAGATGGGTTTGGACACATCAGTAATGACATAAAAATGACAGAATCGTCTTGGTTCCAAGGTTTGGCTTTGAGCCCCTGACTTGATGGCTTGGGGATATTTGTAATGGGAACGCCCAGAGGGAGGATTGAGTAAACACTGGTGTTTTTGTTATATATAAAAGTAAAAATTTAGTATAGAAGGCTAGAAAAATGAACAAGACTTCCTCTCTACTAGGAGTCAAGTCAGATTTTCAAATAGGCATATGGCATGGTGATGAGGTCTGGACAAACTCACCAGGAAAAGGGGGCATAGATCAGTGGTTCCCAACCTGTGGGTCACGACCCCTTTGGGGGTTGAATGACCCTTTCACAGGGGTCATCTAAGACCATCAGAAAACACACCATTCATAACAGTAGCAAAATTACAGTTAGGAAGTAGCAACAAAAATAACTTTATGGTTGGGGTCACCACAACTCCAGGAACTGGATTAAAGGGTCGCAGCATTGGGAAGGTTGAGAGCCACTGGCCTAGATAGAGAGAGAGTATGGAAATCCCAGTTCTAGATCTAGGGCCGCTGACGTTCAGAGGCGGGCTCCTGTGTTGGAGTTCTCAGAGGGCCGCTCTTCCCACTTTGACTACTACCTTTTTACCTTAAGCCCTTGTCTACTCCAAGGTTATCGCAAGGCTGCTCTGTTGCTGCCAGGCTCAGGATGACATTTGGCTTCCTCTTACTATGGGGGAAGTGTTTTTCAGTGGCTCTGTCTGAATGCTAATAGGTGCAAGGCATTTTTTCCCCAGTGAACAGAAGTTTCCACAAAGAAAATATGTAACGTTAACCCTACTTTTTTCCCATTTCCCTTAAAATATTTTCCCTCTCTCCTTCCATTCCTTACTTGGCTGCATGAAATTCCTCTCATGTAAATCCTAAGGTTAGTCGTGGCTGTGGACAAATTCTCTGAGACCCTTCCTTTCTTCTGTGCCATAAGTGGGTTACAAAAGTGCAAATAAAATCTCTAAGGTACATGTATTACTTTCATCTTCTTAAATGTGGAAGATTACTTTGAACTTCTCTTAAAATTCCAACACGTGGGGGCCGTCGGCGGGGCCTGCTTTCCTCCTTCAGCGCCATTTTGTGGCTGCGAGACCCGCAAATGAAGGCTAACCATTACAAGCTGGACAGTATAAGAATATGGCTGTTTTGGCTCAAAAAGTCTCAGTCTTGGTGTGGAAATGAGTCCTTGGCTGTCCCACCACAGCTTTCTCGAGGTGGGACTGTCATGTCAGGGAAGTCTTGACGGAGGCTGCCTCGGCCTATGTGGCCCGCGCAGCCTCTGGCTGGAAAGGGTGCAAGATGACCAACAAAGAACCTCTTCCTAAAAAGGCGCAAAGCTACACAGAGAAACCCTGTCTCAAAAAACAAAAAAAACAAAAAAACAAAAAAACAAAACAAAAAAAAAGGTCCGTTTGAGCGAAACAGATTTCAAAGTTATGGCATGGGATGAGTTGATTCTAAGATGGAAACAATAGGAAGCATACGTTCAAGCTTTGGAGGGAAGGTACACAGACCTTAATTCAAACGATGTGACTGGCTTAAGGGAATCTGAAGAAAAACTAAAGCAGCAACAGCAGGAGTCTGCACGCAGGGAAAACATTCTTGTCATGCGATTAGCAACCAAGGAACAGGAGATACAAGAGTGTACTACTCAAATCCAGTACCTCAAGCAAGTCCAGCAGCCGAGTGTTGCCCAACTGCGATCGACGATGGTAGACCCAGCGATCAACTTCTTTTTCCTAAAAATGAAAGGTGAACTGGAACAGACTAAGACAAGCTGGAACAAGCCCCAAATGGACTGAGTGCCTGGAAGTTTACGCCTGATAGGTAAACATCATATTCCCCAGTCAAGACTTCCCTGACATGACAGTCCCACCTCGAGAAAGCTGTGGTGGGACAGCCAAGGACTCATTTCCACACCAAGACTGAGACTTTTTGAGCCAAAACAGCCAT